CTTCTGATTCAACTATCCTCCTTAAAAGACTTCTGCATAATCTCTTAAGGTGGAAAAACACTCCATCTTTCTATCGAACCGATTTGTGTTGGCTTCAGTTCCTGTGCGTTTATCTCGATGCCGAGTGTGAATAATATTATCCCCCTCGAGGTTAGGTTATTCACAAAAGTGGCGATAGAAAAAAAAAAATTTGCCCTCGAGTCTTCGTGATATTTTAACGATGGCATTCGAACGAAACTCTCATACTTCGCAAGAGAATAAGGATAAGCGGAAACAAAGAGATTCTTATTCTCACTTGAAATCAGGTTTTTCAAAACAAAGTTAACTCCCAACATAGGATAAACCAGAATTAGCTAAACAACAAGAGAAGCGAGTTTTAAAGTTGGAAAGCTTAAAATAGTTTACACAGCGTATCAAAAGTAGGGAAAGATCAAGCGAAATCCTCAAATTACGAAATTTGGTTAACAAAAAGAAGCCTCAATCACACTTCAAAATCGTTGCCATGTAGATGGGAAAAAGGTTTGCAAGAGTATACAAGAAGACAAGAATTTTAGAAAAGCAGCACGACTGCTTCGTCTTCACGAGTCCACGATTCACTGTTTTCATCATCGGTTCAAGCTGCTCCCTTCGTTCAAGCCTTCTCCTTAAGAGATGGCTCGCGAATGGTCCTCATCCGAATACACCGGAAATACATCGAGAGGACTGTTATACACAGAACTCCGCTCGACAACATAATATCGAATTTCTAAACAAACAAAACCTCAAACTAGAACTTAACTCTATATCGCTAGAGTTCAAGTTCATATAGCTAAGGTTCGCTACTCATCTAGAGTTCCAGAACGTTTAAAAGTAGGAGGATAAATTCCTAAGCCCCGGTTTACATCTCATCATATTATCTCATAAATCAGGTAACTGATAATCAATTCAAAATTTCTTATGAAACTCATACCTGAGTTGGCGAGGCGCGACGGAAGCGAGTGGTCATATACTACGTCATAGTATGTCAGTATTTCAGAGAGTTCACATAATTCACACATATCAGTCTACAGAAACGCAGACTGACTATGATACCAAACTGTAACGCCCCACTTTTATTTGCCGAAAATCAGAATAAATTTTTCAAATTTATTTCAAAACACCTGAGGCGCTACTCATTTTCAAAACGAACTTCAATACTTAACCAATTTCTCGACACTCATTCAAACATCAAACTCAATCATCAACAATATCACTAACTCCCAAAACAGGTTTCCCAAAATTCATATATCACCCAAACCGGGTTTTAATAATATTCATAAATTCTAAGGAGCATCTCCTTAACATTATTCAAGTCATAAAATCCAAAATTCATAAATGCAATAATACTCTAAGTCCACAGTCATAAAATCCAGAATTCATAAATGCGGTAGCATAACAAATAATAAGACCGGTCTTATATACCGACCACCACTCGCTCTACTCCGCCACTGTGCCTGCCTCGCTTAACCTGAAACGTGAATTTTAGGTGGGGATGAGCACAGTAGGAAAAAGTAGTGCTCATCACTATGCAGTAAACATTACTCAAACAAATCAACAGTATGATCTCAGCATGAATAAGAATCAATTTAATATCCCAATCTCCTGTCATCATAATATCGTCATAAAGATCGTCATAATATCGTCATAATATCATCATAAAATCAAGACTCATGTGCACACCTACGCATAGACTACTGCGGGGTAAAATACCGAATGCCCCTCGGGCTTCTATCGGTGCCCAAGCCAGTAGGAGTAAATCCTCAAAGGAGATTACCCAACGGGTACGTTTTATAGCTACGGGGATAACCGTTCGACGGCCGGTACAGCTCACATCGAAGGCTACATGGTTCACATGCATACATTGATCATACTACAAATATTCATTCATAACATTTACAGGATAGCAAATTTTAAATAAAACTCACCTGGATTCGGACTGATGATAGCAATTCAGAAAAGACGTAGGTTGAGGCTTGACTCCTCAAACACCTACATTATGTCAAGATCCTACAATCAATATCTTGACTTAATCGGAAAACACAAAACAGAGCTAGTCGAACTTGTTTCGACTAAGTAGTTCGTGAAGTCCAGTGGACATTGGAATACTTAGACTCGGCACTATACTCGACCAAACCACATATGGGAGTTCACATAAATTCATCTAAGGATTGACCAAGTCAAACACTCAACAGAATGAAAAGCAAGTCGATTACCGATTTTAATTTCAAAATCATATTTTTAAAATAATAACCATTAATCACATAAAAATAGATGGTCAGGCTACCCTACGACTTAAGCTCTGAAATTTTAGCCAAAATTACTCCTCCCTATAATAAGAAAAACTACCAAGTTTCAGCTTTAAAATCAAAGTACATTAATTTATAAAATTCATACAAGATATCAGCAAAAACGCACATAAATTTATATCTGAAACTAATGAATGAGTCAGGACATGATATTTTAACTCAACAAGCTACAGAATGATAGAGACAACATGTAAAAATCTCAGCCCTGGACATTAACTGTACTAATTTTAAAAATTCAGACAAGATTCAGCAGTTATCGAATTTAAATCAAAACCGAATCAAATTAGACTCCAACAATTCCAATCTTTTTACAGTATTAATATACACATAAAATAAGCATCTCAGTCAAGTTTCAGAATATTTCAAGAACCGGCCGATTTATAGTAATTCAAACAACTATCTGCAAAAACAGATGAAACTAGGAATATGAATAAAAAGGAGGGAGTGAGCCTTTAGATATTGAAAATAAATCCTTTACCCTATCAAACTTAGTCCAAAAATTCTAAAACTTTAACACGACATATATTCTGAACACGAACCAATTTATTAAGCATTTAACACTATTCTGAACAGAATTCACTTTATTTATTAAAAATAGCTATAGGTCTCTAAATATTATGAAATTTTTACACAAGCCTGGAAATGAGCATAAGACATGATCCTCAATATTTCAAGTCATTCCGAGTAGTGTGCAATTTTTAAAAATTCAAACACTAAATCAGCAATTACCGGAATCGACAATATCACGCATAGGTCATAACAATAATTTTCGTTCGAGGCCTTCTCGTAAGATCAAGGACTCGACATTGTTCCAATATCCACTGACTTACACGACTTTCGAGGTCTCGCTCGATTCTTTAAAATTGAAGAGATCCCGAACAACTCGAATACACATAAAATCATAACTTCCACATAATATCATATTGAACACATTATCGCACAATAATCACATCTCGCTAATCACACATATACGTAAATAACATAACCGATTTAAAACGAGACGGGATCGACTAGATACCGTTCTCAGGAAAAAAAGCTCAGAAAACGAAACCGAACAAGGAGGAATGAGAGCTCGCGGCTAACGGCGGTTGTTCGATGGCAAGCTTCGTCTCGCGAGGGGAGGGCAGTGGCTGAGAAGGGGGGCCGCTGTTGCTAGGTCACCATCGGAATTCATTTGTCGAGGTGCTGTTCGAGCGGAGGTCGCTGGAAAAATTCTGCACGTGGGAACTACGGGATGACGGGGACTCCTGTGGCGGCGTCGCGGCGCGGCAGAGAGCCTGGGATGGCGTCGCGGCGCGGCAAAGGTCCTGATCGCGGCGCGGTGAGATGCTGGTCATCAGAAGAATCACGATAGAGGGAGATTCTCATCGCCGGGGCTCATGGTCTGCTCGAACTCGCCGGAGAAACGCGAACAGGGGTCGCCGGAGGTTGGTCGCGCGAGTTGCTGGCCGTTGGTGATGGTGGTGACGGGAGGACGATGATGATAGGAAGACGACGTTGATGGTCGGACAGCGTTGATGATGGGAAAAGAGATTTCTCCTCTCTGTGCGCGAACGGGAAGAAAAAGAAAAAGACGAGAGAAAGAAGGGATGAAGATGATGGGCGTCGATCTCAGATTTTGAGGAGAAAGCTGCGGGGATCGTGATGTCGAGCGATGGAGAAGGCAAATATATATATATATACGTAATACTAGGTTAAAACAAATTGTCTTGGAGCCCAAGAAAAAAAATTCACTACACATCACGTGCAAAAGAGAGAAAAGGAAAATCAGCCGGGCCGGGTGGCGGGTCGCGGGCTGGTTCGCTCGGGTTTAAATGGGCCGAAGGTTCGGTTAAGAGCGTACGGTTCTCTCGGGCTCGATTTCTCGGTTCGATTAGTCAAATTAAAATGGCTCGATTCGCACGATAAATTAGAAATAAAAGTTCGGCTATTATTATAAAATATATTTCACACATTATTAATTGAATAATAATACGCATTTTTGCATTTAATAGACAATTAGGCATTTAATCGAAATTTGGCAAATAAATCATTTTGGACATTTAACAACATTTAGCATTCAATAATAACAATAACCACAACAAATAAAGATAATTAATAGTAATANCATTTCAACTTTAAAATTAATTTATCGTTCAACATAAAATGGTTTTGAGATATTATTCTAAGTCTTCCATTTACGAAAATTGAACTGTAAAATCGGTAAAAAAACATTTTTTTCTTACAATCCCCACATGAAAAAAATTAATGCAAGCATGAAATACTTGAGAGTTTCGGTGACCCGCCATTGCACTATGATAAATAGCTTGTGGATTTGAATCTTCTTTAGTAAAATACTATCGGATACACTAGCCAATTAGTAGTGCAATGTTTTGAACTTATCGGGTGTATACCAAGACAACAATACTCACACAAAAACAGCTGTAACACTTTCGTGTACTCAAGTTGTTCCCATTTCGGCAGTTTAGCCAATTACTTCTTACTACAAAAGTGATTCTCATATGATTAGTATCATGTCGTAGTCCACTCTTAGGTATAGAAATCATTAAAAATCATCTACTTAACCTCACAACTTAGGCAGATGTGACACTTGACGGTTCTATAATTGAGCGAATATTTTTCAGGTGTTTCACTGAATGGTCAAAACTTAGTTTTTCAATTAAACTAAGGTTTCAGGATCAAATGATTGTTGTCGAGTGTGCCCCTTAAATAACGCACTCTTGGTAAGCAACTTGTGGCGCTTCCCACTATGATTGTGTTGACCACTGACTTGGTAAATTCGAAAATAATTCCAAACCCAAACGAAGACGGGTTACAGATAATGTAACCGAAAAACCTACGGTTTAATATAAGATAAAGATGCACGTCGGATGGCCTCAGAAGCTCTTCTCCTTTGTAAACAACACGTGACCTCGGAATTACACCTCGCCTCGGAGTTCCACCTTCCGATTACACCTTCCTACCGACATCACACTACTACCGACCTGCTGCGATTTCCCAACATGGCCGGCTTCTCGATACCTTACCACCTTACCGTTGTCTACCGACACTACCGCCCACCTCAAATGTAACCGAGTTCGCCAAGCAGGTGATCAGGCACCTAAGCAACCTCTTTGCGTTTCGTGTCCAACGTCATGATGATCGTGAGCCCCAATGACCCAACCGCCCATTTAAAGCTACTTTTCGCACAAATCCAAAATGATTGGAGACCTGGAACAATGTATACCAAAAAAAGTTACTATATATAGCTGAGAATTCCCCCGGAAAAAGGAGAGGAGACACTGTACCACTTTCATTTTCAATTAAGGACACACCGACCATTCACCAGTCAATAAAATCTCATATTACTGTTATCTACTGCGTGAATCTATGTCATATACATATTGTTTATGTTGCTTCAAATCCATACGGCAACAGTTGACGCTAGAAGGAGGGCCTCATAACTATTTGAGGTTAACCTTCGACGTTTGCATGACACCCATACCTTTACCCCTGTTATTCCCCTGTTTTGTGATTCCTATCCGGTCATGTCCCGGTCAGGACAAGATGATCCCACAACCGGAGGAAGTGCGATTAATCTTAATCCACACGCAGCCAGACACGCTAACAACGTTCCTATAAATCCTATCCCAGATCGAGTTATCAATATTCCGTCCAATAACGCTCCGGCGGATCAGCCCCCAGGTCGCATAGTCAATCTTCCATAAACTCTGGATTTGGCAGCTCTTTTTCTTCAGAATCCTGAAATCGCACGAGGAATTACTGCCCTGTTAGCACAAGTCATCCCTGGTACCTCTCGGGCACCTCTAGGACCGTGCCCGAATCCAGCGGACCTCGTCCGGCAAGGCGCACAACAACCACCTCCAAGAAACGATGATAATCATGTTGCTTCGCACGCTACTTCCCGACCTCGCGATAATAACCGCCAGAGGCCACCAGTGAGATGCGTACCGCTACCAAGTGGCGATGATATGCAAGAAGTGACGGCGGAAAGCCATCCGGGGCCTCCTCGGAGAATGGACGTCCCTGTGCAACCAGAACCTCACCATCTCGATAATATTCCCGGCGTGCATCAACAGATGGAGATAAATCGTATTGACCGACATGAGAACTTGGAAACTGAGGTGCTGAGAAGACGGGTTGCCGAACTCTAGCTTGAAGCCCGGCGTGGAGCCCACGCGCGGCCCCTACCAAACTTTTACCCCCCAGAACCGGGTCATGTATACTTGGAAGTTGAGTCACCTCTAGCTACCGAATTAACCATGGGCCCCATACCCGGAAAAGTGAAAGTTCCTCAAATCGGACTATACGACGGGACCTCGGATCCCGATGCTCATCTCGGACATTACACCTCTTGGATGGATCTTCATGGTGCTACCGACGCCTTACGTTGTAGAATGTTTTCCTTGACTCTTGGACCCCGAGCGCAGAAATGGTATCACTTCTTACCTCCCCATTCCATTTGGAAGTGGCAACAACTCCGATCAGCTTTTCGCTCGCATTTCATCGGGGCCCAGGTATGCCTTATTCCCAAGGAGTCAATTACTAATATAACTCAACGGGATGATGAAAGTGTAAAGGAGTATGTTGCTCGGTTTAACGAACGAGTACAGAATATGTAACCTTGCCATCCGGAAACACTTTTAGTTTTGGCCATTGCTGATCTCAAACCAAATTCCATGTTCCGATGGACCCTTTGTCAAAACAAACCAAGCACGTTCCAGGAGTTCCTTGCTCGAGCACAACAACATATCATCGTCGAGGAATTGATGTTGGTCCCCGACTTCAATATTTTCTCGAACGAGCTTTCTAAACCCGAACCTGGAAGCTCAAAACAGAACAATAAACCTTTTGGCGGAAAACCGGGTAGGCCTCCGTTGGGAGGTCCGTCAAAGGAAGCCTATAACTCTCCAGAGGTGAAATCAGCCTTGAAAAAGTATAGGGACGATTTGAAATCCGGTTACCAAACTGTCTTCTCGGCCGGAGCTGCCACGATATATGCAGAACTCAAAGGAAAGGGAATTTTACCCGATCCCCAATCGGTGAGCGTACCGTTGGAGTGATTGGACAAGTCAAAGTATTGCGACTATCATAAGTCGTTGGGATATAATACCGACGAATGTTTCAGTCTATTGGCGGCGTTGTTGCGATTGATCGGTCATCCTCAGCTCCGAAGATTTTTAAAGAATCCTGATATTCAAAGGCAGGGACGAAACTTGGAAGCTTTAGACGAAGATGATGAGAATGATCGAGCTCCAAATCCCAAGAAAATCCGGCAAGGAGAAAAAGAAGTCTTCACCTTTGATTTAGATACCCCCGAGTGTTGCCGAGAAAAGAATTCGAAGGAGGTTAGACGAAGTTGGTCCCCAGAATTGGATCAAAACATCGTGCGGCGGGTGAACACAAGTCACAGCCGACAAACTTCTTCCCGACGTCAAATTAAAGCTTTCGCTCGGCAGGCCTATAATGCGGGAAAATGGATCTTAACCACTGATCTTCGGGAAACTATAAATTCCAGAAATTGTCCAATCACCTTCAGTATAGAAGACGCGAGTTTGTTCGCACATCCCCATTCTGATGCGCTCATTATCACGGCTCCTATCTGTGGAATAACCGTTCACCGCATTATGGTGGATACCGGGCCTATTCCAGTATCCTGATGCTCTGGGCGTTCGAAAAAATGGGCCTTGACCCATCCAAAATTAAGCCGTGTAACGACAAAATTCAAGGATTCAACGGGAGCGTCTCTTGTCCCATCGTAGAAATTACTTTACCTATCTGTTTCGGGAGCTCCGACAGTGCGTCAAAAGTTATTATTGGAACTTTCAAGGTCATGGATATCCGGAACGAATACAACGCCATCATTGGAAGGACTGCGCTCTACAAGTTGAGAGTTGCGGTCTCCATCTACCATTATGCTTTGAAATTCCCAACATCAAGTGGAGAAGGAACACATTATGGAGAACAAAAAGAGGCACGAGAACTCATCTTAGCCAGATCATCCGAAGAAATCCATAACACTGACCTGGTCGACCAAGACAACCGGGACGAAACCCCTTCACTTGAAAGGGAAGCAACCGACGTCACAAAATCTGAGACTGAGGCCAACTCGACCCCGACGGGTGTTCATATCGAAAATTCAGACCCTGGAAGGTGACCGGGTAAGGAACCAATCCGAGATGAAGATGAACTCGATCCGAGGACCCAGTTCAAAGATAAAAGCCGACACGACCGAGCAGAACCTTGTGAAGAAACTGAGTTGATCTACGTTGATCCTCCAACGTGCCACAAGGCATTAAGAATTGGCACTAGTCTTCAGGAACCGGTCAGAACGCAACTTGTCGCCTTCCTTCAAAATAATTCTGATGTGTTCGCATGGAAGCACGAGGATATGAAAGGGATAGATCCGGAGATAGCAAGTCATAAGCTTAACCTCGACCGAACTGTGAGGCCGGTCGTCCAAAAGCGAAGGAAGTTGGGTCCCGACCGACAGAAGGCCTTGGAAAAAGAAGTTCAAAAGCTCATTGATAACAAATTCATTAAGGAAACCAGGTATCCGACGTGGGTATCGAACCCGGTTTTTGTCAAGAAAAGCAATGGTTTATGGCGTTTATGTATCGATTTTTCCGACTTAAACAAAGCCTGCCCGAAGGATAGTTATCCTCTACCGCATATTGAGTACATGGTAGATGCCACGTCGGGACATGAACTTATGAGTTTCATGGATGCTTATTCCGGATACAATCAAATTCCAATGGACCCCTAAGAAGCCGAACATACCTCATTCTACTCGGCTCGAGGTTTGTATTGCTACACGATGATGCCCTTCGGGTTAAAGAATGCAGGGGCCACGTATCAACGGTTGGTAAACAAGATGTTTCTGCTCTTATCGGACGAACGATGGAAGTATATGTCGATGACATGATGGTAAAGTCGGTACGAGCAAATGATCACGTCGGCCACCTACGAGAAATGTTCGACATTCTGCGTGATTACTTGATGGTTCTGAATCCAAAAAAGTGCACATTCGATGTAGGGTCGGGGAAGTTTTTAGGATATATGGTGAGTCAATATGGTATTGATGCAAACCCGGCGAAGATTCAAGCGATTCAAGACCTCGTTCCTCCAGCGTCGGTAAAAGGTGTTCAGGCCTTAACCGGACGCCTTGCCGCTCTAAATCGATTCATCTCAAAGTCAACGGATCGTTGTAAGCCGTTTTTCGACGCTATCAGAAAAGGAAAACGCTTTGAGTGGACAGAAGAATGTCAAAAAGCCCTTCAAAGTATCAAGGAAGTACTCGTTCAACCTCCGACTTTGCAAAAATCGACTCCCGAAGAAATGTTGTATTTATACCTAGGAGTAAGCAACTCGACAGTCAGTGCAGATCTCGTTCGTGAAAAAGCGGCGCAACAGTTTCCGGTATATTACATAAGTAAAGCCCTACATGATGCCGAACAACGTTATCCACCAATGGAGAAGTTGGCCTTCGCCTTGGTCACGGCTGCTCGGAAGTTGCGCCCGTATTTCCAGGAACATTCAATAACAGTTTTCACATCATTTCCGCTGCGGCAAATTTTGCACCGACCAGACACTTCGGGGAGAATGGTCAAGTGGGCTATCGAACTCGGACAGTTTGATACCCATTACAAACCGAGAATCGCAATCAAGACTCAGGTACTCTCTGAC